TATATATGTGTATGTTTGTGTGTGTATATATGTATATAATATATATTAAACATTTTGAATACAGTGTATTGTCAGGGCATCTCATTTACAGAAAACCAAAGAAAACAAAAGAATATGAACACATACTAATAATAATTATAGTGTAACAGAATAATAGATTTCTCTTTGTATTAGCTTATTTGTAGTTCTTTTTGGTTACACTGGCATATTTATAATTATAAACCATCTTTTATGTTTAGTTCATACATAGCAATTATCTTCCTTCTAATTTCCACCTCTTATCTCTAACCACTTGTAAAATCTATTCCATGTTAAGTAATATTCTGGTGTCGTCTTTGTTCTTTATTTTTAACGTCAGTCTATCCATCTCTGCAGCATCTAATGTTTTCCGAATTGCATCGCTACATTTCTTAAATGAATTAGTTCGGTTTGTGGATCGCCCACGTAGGCTAACTCAAAATACAGAGTCCGAAAACACAAATGACGACTAAAACCTACAAAAGCTGTTTAAAACGCAATTGGAATGTAAATACAATAATTTTAATATATCGGTAACTAAAAGGAGATTATAAAAGGAGGCTTTTTTCAGTGGCATCGTACCATTGAACAATCACTAAACGAAACCGTTATGAGTCAAGGACTACCTGTTAACACAGTTGTTAAGTGAATCCAGCTTCCTTGTTGACTTTGCTCATCAGATGGTCGCAAAAGGGGATCACAGGACACTGACCGTTGTAAATACGAGTCGCTTGCTAAGCGTCTGAATTTTGATGTGTTGGGCATAATGCAACAGGCGTAAGTGTGAAAAACTGTCCTAGGTCAGCACTTTTTTCCATTGTAACTTTGATCGGTCACTAAGTGAACTGTTGCAAGTCGAGGACTGGCTGTATTTCTTTTTTGAGGTTGCTTTCCTGGAGGACGGTATATATTTATTGTGGCCCTGCTTTGCCTGTTGATCGTTTGATTCAGGAGTCGGCAACCTGTGGCTCTGGAGCCGCATGTGGCTCTTTCAACTCTCTGCTGTGGCTCCCTGTTGCTGCTCAGTAAAATGAAAAAGGAGGCTGCACTAGGAGGAGACTCTATGGTGGGGGAACTGGACTTCCTGTTGGCTCCAGAATTGAATGGGAGGCTTCTGGTTAGGACCTTTGTGGCTCTTTGAGTGTTTAAGGTTGCCGACCCCTGGTTTGCTGGATGAACAGGGAGAGATCCAGCTAGTCCTTGACTTACAACCATTCTGTCAGGATTCCAGAAATCGCTCTACTGAAATCATGATTCTCGAGCCAAACTTTAAAAAACTTCATTAGAGGCAACACACTGGCACTGCCCTGTATGAAGCCAACTCTAGCCTACGTCATTTGGAGGACAGTAATATAATATTACAATATAATATAAATATAATAAAAAATATAATATAAATATAAATATAATATAATAATATAATATAATATAATATAATTAATATAATATAATATAATATAATTAATATAATATAATATAATATAATATAATAATATAATATAATATAATTAATATAATATAATATAATATAATATAATATAATATAATATAATTATAATATAATATAATATAATATAATATAATATAAAGCCATACTAGCAGTATGGGGCCTTGGTACCTCCCTGAATGTTATGGACTTTCATTCATTCATTCATTCCTGATATGCTGCCTTCACTTTGGCACCATTAACCGAATAACAAGAGTTGGAAGGGACCTTAAAGATCTTCTAGTCCAGCCCCCTGCTCATGCAGAACTGTCACTTCAGGTGAAGGGTTGTCCAACCTCCTCTTAAATTATCTTCCTGCATCAAGTCTCCCTGGCTGAATGTGGGGCTTGGGGTTGGAAGGAAGAACACACTTTTCCAGTTGACACGAAGGGATCCTCCCTTGTTGCCTGGGGGAAAAATAAATAAGATAAATATTGTGCTTGCCGTAGGGCGACTCTGCTTGGCTCAGTTTTGCTTGGCAACTGCCCACCCTGCTGTGGCTCTGCTCAGGTGAGAAACAGGGAAGTGACCAGGTAAGGGGCACCTGGGAGATTTGGCCAGGGGTGTGGGGCAAGAGGATTTCGTTAGACTTAACAGAGTTGGGAGAGGCCTTGGAAAACTTCTAGCCTAGCTCAAGCAGGAAACGCTAGACCAGTGGTGGCTAACCTTTTGGGCACCGAGTGCCAAAATGGGAGCTTGGGTGCGCATGGCGGAAACTGGAAGAGCAGCTCCCTGACGCGAGGGCACCAGAAACCAGAAGTTTAGCTTCTTGGCGCATGCATATGCACTCTGGGGAGCTGCTCTTCTGATTTTCAGTGATCCCACATGAGCAAAGACCAGCTGGCCAGCATGCATGCGCACACCGGAAGCCAGAAGAGCCAACGGGCGACGGCTGGCGTGCCTGGAGAGATGGCACTGCGTGCCACTTCCGGCACATGTGGCATAGGTTTGCCATCACGGCCCTAGAGCCATTTCAGACAAATGGCTGTCCTGTTCCTTAAAAACCTCCAGTGTTGGAGCACCCCCAACCTCTAGTGGCAAGTCGTTCCACCGGCTAATGGTTCTAACATGGCTAAGGAGAACTCTGGAGTATGTCATTGGCAAGAGGACCAGGAGAAATGTCAATGAAGTGTGCTGCTGCTTCTGTTCTTACTGTGCTTTCATTATTATTATTATTATTAGTATTATTAGTAGTAAGTAGTAAATCTTTATTGAACAAAAACATTAAAAACAGTGAACGTGGTATAATCACACTGACACACCTTTGTCATATATATCTATTGCGGATAGGAAATAATGCAAATTTACATAATATATACATTTTCAACAATTTTCTATATTCCTAATTTATTATCTTAACTTCCTTATCTTATTTCAGTTTTGATTTTAAGTCCTTTTTCCCAACCAATGGTAAAATTTATCCCATACTTTATAGTATTCAGTCTCGTCTTTATTTTTTAAATTCCAACATTAACTTTATCCATTTCTGTGCATGTCCATATCTTTAATTATCTCCGTTTCATCGGTAATTTCCTTTCCACTTTTGAGCATAGACTAGTCTTGCAGCTGTGATCACGTGTATTATTAGATACATTATTTCTTTAGAATTAGAATTATTAGAAGTCTTTTATTGGCCAAGTGTGATTGGACACAGAAGGAATTTGTCTTGGTGCAAATGCTCTCAGGGTACATAAAAGAAAAGATACATTTGTCAAGAATCATAAGGCACAAATAATAATAATAACAACAATATAATAAAGATGATGAGGAGGGAGAAGGAAGGAAGGAAGGAAGGAAAGGAGGAAGGGAGGGAAGAAGGGAGGGTGAGAGGAAGGAGGGAGGGAGGGAGGATGGACGGAGGGACAGAAGAGGGAGGAAGAAGGGAGGGAGATAGGAAGGAAGGAGGGAGAGGGAGGAAGGAAGGAAGGAATAGAATTCTTTATTGGCCAAGTGGGATTGGACACACAAGGAATTTGTCTTGGTGCAAATACTTTTTGTATACATAAAAGAAAAGGTACATTCATTAAGAGTCAAGAATCATAAGGTACAACACTTAATAATAGTCATAGGGTACAATAAGCAATCCAATCATACTAGGAAATAGCCAATATAAATTGTAAAGGATACAAGTGACAAAGTTACAGTCATACAGTCACAAGTGGGAGGGGAATGGGTGATAAGGAGCGATGAGAAGATTAATAGATTGATTGTATCTTTATTGTATCTGTATGTTAATTCCCAATGGAAAGAATTCCAGTGTATACTCAATAATTTCACCCATTTCCTCTAACCAACTCTGAATTTTGTGCCAGAAACCCTAGGCTTTCCTACAACTCCACCACCTATGATAATTTTCCTGTCCTTACTGTGTTGTCAATCACTTTCTCTCTCTCTCTCTCCCTTTTCCCCCTCCAGTCTTGTATGGCCTGGGTGGTCCTCGCCTGCAGCCATGGGGAAGATGCTATCCAAGATCTTTGGTAACAAGGAGATGCGGATCTTGATGTTGGGCTTGGACGCCGCCGGCAAAACCACCATCCTTTACAAGCTGAAGCTGGGCCAGCCCGTCACCACTATCCCCACCGTGGGGTTCAACGTGGAGACGGTCACCTACAAGAACGTCAAGTTCAACGTGTGGGACGTGGGCGGACAGGACAAGATCCGTCCCCTCTGGAGACACTACTACACCGGTACCCAAGGGTTGATCTTCGTGGTGGACTGCGCCGATCGGGATCGGATCGACGAGGGCCGGCAGGAGCTTCATCGCATTATCAATGACCGCGAGATGAGGGACGCCATCATCCTGGTCTTTGCCAACAAGCAGGACCTCCCGGACGCCATGAAGCCTCACGAGATCCAGGAGAAACTGGGGCTCACGCGCATTAGGGATAGGAATTGGTACGTCCAGCCGTCGTGCGCAACGTCGGGGGAAGGACTCTATGAAGGCTTAATGTGGCTTACCTCTAACTACAAGTCGTAAATTCCAGAGCCGGAGAGCTGACTCGACAACAGGGCATGTGCGCCACACCTCCCTAACCGACGAGTTCTTCAAGCTTCCCTTCTCTTCTCAACCTCCCCCTCCCCCCCTTTTCTCTTCGACTCTTCCCCCAACTCCTGGCACAGAGGCCTCTCCATCCATGGGGAGAAGATCTGGTTGCTTCGCTCTCTTGGAAAAGGCCTTGATTTCGATGGATGGAAAAAAATGGAGGGGAGGGGGTCCTTTGGTGCCCACCTTCATGGATCCATAGCTACCTACCTGCACCCCTTTGGGACATTTGCCCCCTCTCCCAGCCCTCTGAACTCAGGTGTCTTCCGAATGAGTCACGTCTTAAGCCAAAGGGAAGACCCTCGTGAAAGAGCGTTGGCTGGGACCAAGTCCAGGAGCTCTGTGTTGACTTGAGGGTGGTTTCCCTTCCTCCTCACCCCCCGGCCCACCTTTTAAAGGTGGGGGGAAGCTTGGCCCTTCCAAGGAACTTGAGTTTGCTCTGCCGTGGCCTCTTGGAAGCCATCTCTTCCCGCCTGGGCGCCCACAAGGTTGGCAGAGAGTCGAGCCACCGAGCTCAGAAAGGTGCTGCGTTGGCAGGCCAAGCTTGGCAGGGATGGGAACTCTTTGTTGGAACAGTTTCCTTCCTCTTGGTGTTGCTTCTTCCAGTATGTCTGCCCGGGAACGCCCTTGTCTCGCCTCGCCTCTCTTCTGACCTGTTCCACCTGCTTGGAAGGCGACGAGGACAGGCATGCCTAAGCGCCCGACCAAACCCGTTTGCCCAGGAGGGAGTAAAGTGGAAGCCGCCGTTCTGTGGAGGCTGTCTTGTCCCCAGGATTCCCGGCCTACAGATCTGGCAAGGGTTCCTCCCTGTAAACGTGGGGACGTTCCCAACTCAAGAAGGACCACAACGGGGTGTGTGTATGTGTGAGTGTCCGTCACATTCCTCGACCGGCTCCATTTACGAATCCAAACTCGGTTCCCCTATCGACGATGAGAACCTCCCTCCCGATCTCCCAACCTTCCTGGGGTGGCCGTCTTTGGACTACAAAGCCTGTAAAGGCCACCCAGTTTCCACAGCACGACGGGGCTCAAAACCTGGTGAATGGGAGCCAAGGCCCCTCCTTGGAAATTTACCTCTCTTTGCTCATGTATGTGTGTGTGTGTGTGTGTGTGGAGGCTATGTATTCACATGCCCTCCAGCTGTGATACGGGACATTAGTTCTTGAGAACAAAATGTGCTTTTATCATTCAGATCCAAGCGGTGGGTATAAATCCTCCTTTTTAAAAAATAATAATAATAATGTACTGATATGATTATTGGAGGGGGGCAAAGATCTCATTTCCAGCACCTTAGATTGTGTGGCCTTCAGTACAGATCAGTGGTTGTTGTTTTTTTTCCCAACCGCGGGTGGACTTCAACTCCCAGAATTCCGGGAGGTTCTGGGAATCCTGGGAGTTGAAGTCCACCCATTTTAAAGGCCCCACGGTTGAGAAATACTGGCATAGACCAAAGAGGAAGGTGTTCCCCAGGAGGTTATAAGGATGGTGGGGTGGAGTGGGCATATAAGTCCCCCTCCCTCCGATTTCAGTCCTTTTCCCCCCTCCCCATTCTTCCTGCTCACTCGCTTTTTAAATCCTATTTTCTGGATGGGAAGCAATGGCCAATTTGAAGTGCTAGAACCCATCAGGCTGCATCGATGCTGGGTCCTCCTTGCCTCTCCTTTAAGCAGTTTTTAATTCCTCTTTCCCTTAAAAAAAAAAAGAACCCTCTATTTTAATAATGGGGGGGCTTCATGGGCTCCCAAATTAGTCCACTGAGGAATTGGGGGAGCATCGCAAATTGTGGAGAATCTCGGTTCCCTCCTCCAATTTTCAAGCATGTCTCGATGCACGGAAGAGGGCTTGCAACGTCTCTTTTGTTCAATTCCACCCCTCCATTTCGTCCAGATCTTCTCGTCCCTGGCAATTGTGTACGATGCATGATTCTCACCCGAATCCTGACCAGCTTGGATTGGGAAGACTTTGGGGCAGAGCGGAGAGAAAACCTGGAATGAGAAAGCAGGAGGGAATAATTCTTTTTTTTTTTCTTCTGCTAGAGAACCGCGGCTGTGCTAGCCCCGGAGGAAGAGGGAGGGGGCAGGAAATCAGGTTTGCACTTTCTGCCGGCAGTTTTCCACTGCTGCTTGCACGCTGGGTGTGAACTGGATCAGATGTGACTCAACCGGCTGCTTGAGCTTTCTCAGTTGCGCTGAGCCAGTGTAAAATATTCTGTTCAGCCGTCTTCCTGTCCCTCTGCTCTCCGCTGAGCTCTTTCGGGATTTCCAAAAGCCCAGGAATAATATTACAGTCCCTGCCCCACACAAAAAAAAGTGGAGAGGGAGGCCAGAATAGCGTGATCTAAGCTCCTTCTGGATATATATCTATATCTATAAGTATGTATGTATGTATGTGTGTGTATGTATGTGTGTGTGTATACACACACACACACACACATATATAGTATTCAGCTTTGTTCGGATATTTTCCCACGTCATTGTAGTTGTGCTTCTGGAGCCTGATGATGGCAGATGAGATTCTGCCGAAACGTTGCTACAACTTTAAAAGCACAACTATAATGACGTGGGAAAATACCTGAACAAAGCTGAATACCATACATGTAAGTACCCGCGAAAACTTAAGAAAACATTATATATAGATATATATATATAGAGAGAGAGAGAGATATAGATATAGATATATAAAATTTTTAAAAATATTTTAAAAGTGTTTTAAGAAATTTAAAAATTGATTTAAGGGGAAAATAAAAAAAAACCAGGAAGAAGTTTGATCGTCCGGTTCGGGAGGCCATTTTGACTTTTTTGACCTGCAGAGGCTCCTGAAAGCCTGAAATCCTTCCTCCCCCCCCCCTCTTTCTCACCGTTTGGAAAGAGAGAGAGAGAGAGAGAGAGTGTGTGTGTATGAAGGAGTTCTTTGATCTTGATTTCTTTTCTGTTTCCTTCCAAAGCTCACAATGGCTCAGAATATTCAGAAATATCTTTTGATTTGGAGAATCTGTAGCAGGTTGTGTTCAAAGTTGTGCGCGCGCAAGCCCTCCAAAATGCATTTTCAGTGTTTCTTTTCCTTGGCGGCTTGAAGATATGGGTGAGCTTTGACTCCCAGAATTCCCCCCCCCCTCCAGTCAACATGGCCGGCAGGGGAATTCTGGGAGTTGAAGTTCCACCTAGATCTTCAAGCTGGTTTATATCATCCAGAGCAGAGGTCTCCAAACTTGGCAGCTTTAAGACTTGTGGACTTCAACTCCCAGAATTCCCCTGCTGGCCATGTTGGTGGGGGAATTCTGGGAGTTGAAGTCCATAAGTCTTAAAGTTGCCAAATTTGGGGGGCCCTGATCCAGAGAATTGGTAGGGCAGGGCATTCAGCCTGGAGAGATTTCTTGGGGTACAGGAGACCCCATCTTCTCCATCCCCTTCTGATGGGGGAGGGGGGAAATGTCCCTCCCCAGCTCTCTCTTTCCAGCTTCCTTCCAAAATAAGCTTTCATGCCGTGATGCCGTCTTCCGCAGCTTACCTACCCACGGTGCATCTCAACATTTTGGAAAGAAAATCTCATTTGGGCCTCTGGACATGCATCATGTACATTGCCTTAAGGCAGGGGTCCTCAAACTTGACAGCTTTAAGACTTGTGGACTTCCACTCCCAGAATTCCTCCTCCAGTCACGTTAGCTGAGGAATTCTGGGAGTGGAAGTCCACAAGTCTTAAACTTGGCCAAGTTTGAAGAGCCTTGCCCTAAACCCTATAGAAACCCGAAATCTGTTAAGAACCTGCTAGATCAGGGGTCTCCAAACTCGGCCACTTTAAGACTGGTGGACTTCAACTCCCAGAATTCCTCCTCCAGTCTTGTTAGCTCAGGAATTCTGGGAGTTGAAGTCTACCAGTCTTAAAAGTGGCCAAGTTTGGAGAGCCTTGCCTTAAGACTTCAGGACTACCCTCCCCATCATTCCCCATCTAGCAGTGGAACAGATGGGATCCATAGTCCCACCCACCACTCCTTCCATCTCTCTAGGATGCCCAGAAAGGTGAGGCTGTGGGGGAGGAAGGGGCTAGGTCATGCTTTTAATGTGTGTCCCCCTCCCAAACATGGCATGTACCGCCATAATTGGGGTGCGGTCTTTGTCCGAAAACGGGGCTTCCTCCTACCAGTGTCCTTCCTTGGCTGGGAACGCTGGGTCTTGTCCTAATCTGTCTGACAGGTTGGGAACGGTTGCGGGGTATCATATTCTGAAGGCACTTAAATCCTGAAACCCGGCCCTGAAATATTTAGTGTGTGGCCTTTTTTCCCTCCCCTTCATTGCTTGTCATTTTTCCAGTCTTCTTGGAATCATTCCGGAAAAAAATCACTCATTAAAACCCAGACACGGCGGTTTTTATTTTCTCTTCCCAAAGCCTGATGATGGTCAGAGAATGATCCGTGTGAAAAAAAACACAACTCATTTTATTCCCCCTCCCCCTTTTTTTTCCACCCCCCACCCCCCTTTATGCCTTCCATAAAAGGCTTATAAAGACAAAAGGTACTTTTTCTGTAACTTAAAAATTGCAGCTGGTGAACTTTGAATGCGCTGATTTGTTTCCGGGGTTTTAAAATAAAAATAAGGGTGGTTTTTTTTTTATTTTTATTATTTTTTTTCCCCATTCCCCTGAATTAAAAATGAAGGGTGTGTTTATTGGATGCTAAAGCTGCACATAACAAATGTACTGTAACATTTATTGCTGGAATTTCTTTAGAATCTGGGTTTTGTTTTATTTTTTTGGCTAGGGTGCGGGAAGGGCAGTGCTCGCACGTTCCTCGTGGCTATGAGTGCCTGGGGTGGGAACCCCCTATTGCAAACAAGGGCTCTTTTTTTTTTTTAAATAAATAAATGATTTTCAAATCTTCCATAAAAATGACGTGTCTTTTTTTTTGGTAAAAACAAAACAAAAACCCTAACATCCATCAGTCACCAGTTTGCTGTCTGTGACTAACTTAGTGACGCCAGAGGAAAAGCATTGTGATATATATCTTACAGAAACAGATAATCAGAGTTGGAAGTGACTTTATAAAGGTCATCTAGTCCAACCCCCTGCCCAAGTGGGAGACCCTACACCATTTCTGACAAATGGCAGTCCAATCTCTTCTTGAAAGCCTCCAGTGATGATGAAGCTCCCGTAACTTCTGAGAGCAACTTCTGTTCCATTGGTTGATTGTTCTCACTGTCAGAAAGTTTCTCCTTATTTCCAGGTTGAATCTCTCCTCGATCAGTTTCCATCCATTATTCCTTGTCTGGCCTTCAGGTGCTTTGGAGAATAGCTTGACCCCCTTCCTCCTCTCTGTGGAAGCCCCTCAAATATTGGAAGATGCTCTCCTGTCTCCCCTGGTCCTTTTCTTCCCTAGACTAGCCAGGCCCAGTTCCTGCAACCGTTCATTCATTCGTTCAGTCCCCTTATCATCTTGGTTGCTCTTTGCACTTTTTCTAGAGTCTCAACATCTTTTTATAGTGTGGTGACCAAAACTGGATGCAGTACTCTAGGTGTGGTCTTACTAAGGTTTTATAGAGTGTATTAGTCCCTCCCTTGATCTCGATTGTATCCCTCTGTTAGTGCAATTTAGGATTGCATTGGGTTTTTTTGGCTGCTGCTGCACACTGCTGGCTCCTATTTAGCTGGTTGTCCAGTAAGATTCCAAGATCCCTCTCACAGTTGATTGACACAGCTATTGAGCCTGGTTTCACCCAGTCTATATGTGTCCTTTTGGTTTTGTCTGCCTAAGTGTAGGACTTTACTTTTCTCTACATTGAATTTCACTTTGTTAAATGTGGCCCATATTTAGTATATAATTTAGACCCATGACTTAATCCTCCTACGCCACTATCGCCCTCCCTTCTCCAGACCACCAAGAATCACATGCTCCCCAATTGCCGTTTTGTGGACTTGAATTTCAGAGGTGTGATCTCTGCGGGGCATGGAACAGCTTCTGTGTAGCGCCTTAACAACGGGGGCGAGTGTGATTGTGTGTTTCTGGCTAGGTTTTGACTGCCACGGAGGGAGAGAAGAGAGTTGCCTTTGTGGTTTAACCATGTTTGGTTTTGTTCCTCTTTTGATTCTGGCTTGAAATGCAGCTGTGATTGATGTCAATAGATCACAAGGGCCTGCTGGCATTATTAAAAGTTTCATTTCTGTTCTTCCACCCGTTATTACTGGGAACGGCAGCTCACATCCTTGGGTGCGGTTCTGGGGACTTCTCAGTTTTAGGGAAGGGGACAACATATTTACTGTATTTGGCATTGCAGTAAATGAAATTGAATGTACATGTTCTGACCTAGGCTTCACAAAAATCACGAAGCAGACTCCTTGTCCCGACAAAACCCCTTTTGTATTAGGGTCTTTCAAGGATGAATGACAACCACAGACCTTATCAGGCTTGGAGAGTTGCCAGGCCGATAGCTTCCAAGCACCACGCTGTAACAGAAAATACTTGGCAAGGAGTCTCTGAAGTCACAAAACACAAATCTTCATGCTAATTAAACGAACTAATTGTCTCCTGCAAGCACCACTCCCCTTTCGCTCCTCTTTATTCCCTATGGGAGGGGCCATTCACTGTCCATCTCTGCCTTTACTCCCTTGGTCCTTCATTGTTCCCTTCTTCTGGCAGCTCTGCGCATGTGCACATTGGGAACAGACTCCAGCTATTCTTCTTCCCCACTGATCTCCAACTCTGAAGGCAGCTGATAACTGTTGGACGGCCCTGGCCCCATCTCTGCCTCCGACGCAGAGCCCTCGTCTGAGCCTTCCCCAGACTCCAGGACTGGCCCATGTTCCTCCCCAACCTCCTCACTGACCGATTCTGCCACCAGCTCCGCTGGTTGCTGGCGGGCCACAACAACGTAGTTGTGGGTCAGGCCCACAGGGGAACGTAATTTTCTGTCCTTGCCCATCCTTGCACAAGGGGGGCCTTAGATGTTCCCCCATCATTTCGGTTCTTCCAATTGCTCAGTGTGCTTTGTGGTAGAAGTGAAACACCCAACCGCCTCGTGTGGGTGCACACACACTTCCCTCAGATTAAATCTGGAACACCCTGTTCCTTAAAGCAAGACCAAGGTAATTACCAGTTGTTTTTAAAAAAGGCATTTGAGTTTTTTCTAAACACTTATTAAACATTAGAGTTACGCTAAAAAAGATGTCGAGATTCTAGAAAAAGTGCAGAGAAGACTTCCCTTGCGGCAAAGCGGCAAACTTGGGGAAAAGTAATGTTGCAACATCAGGCCAGATGTTCTGGATGCTGCAAAGGTCATAAGGGTGAGGACTGGTCATAAAAGTTGCTTCTTTGGCACCGTTGTAATGGCCCTTTAACCACTAGGCTA